ACATGGATAGAATGGTCAGGAGAGATCATGGCAACGAGTGTATCGGTGTAGGTGATGTGAAGACGAGAAGGCTTCTGTTTGCGTCTGATATCTAGCAATCTCCGGAACAGTTCACAGCCGAGTGCGACATTTCCGGCGTGTGTGAACGTGTGTAAAACGAAAATCTAGTTCTTGCTTGTTATCCTGTCCGCTGCACTCAGCGGACAAACAAGGTAAATGGCAAGAAGAGATGGACCGGCAAAGTGGTATAGCCAATGTTGCTACACGTGAGCTATCCTGAACTGCTGTGACTAATGTAGAGCTGAGTATGAATATGAAGTTCCCTGTGTTCTTCCAGATACCCACTAAGGTCATGAACCGTGGGCTATGACTGAAAACTTTTACTTCGGGGACCAGTGAATGAAAGGAGCTTTCTGAGGCGAATCGTTGGACTCATGCATTTCGGCCGAGTACGGAGTTCTGATATCCGGAATGTCCTTGAAGCCGCTGCTTCTTTAGATTGAGAAGCAACAGCTGCAATTGTTTGGGCACATTTTGCGAATGCTTCCAGAGAAGAAAGAGCAAGAGCTACTGCTTGCTGTACTAGACCAAACACCCAGGAAATAGCCAAAAATGATCTGGACCAAGTATTTAGACAGATTCGGCTCCAAACTCGAGTTATTTTTTGCCAAAGGTCAAACGTTGGTTGGTCTGATGCATCTGCCCCCTCGACTCGAAAGAATAAACAATTTTTTCGAAAATGATTAGCTGAAAATTTAGTTGAATAGAAAAAATCATACTTATATTTCAGAGGTTCTTGAAAGAACATATTCATTACAACCGTTGTCGCTAATTTTTCTAAAGTTGTTATCAAACTGCGTATTTGCAAACCATTAGTCAACATAAAATTATGACACGACCATGATAGGACTACTAATATCACCATTTGCAGAACAGGAAGACCTCTTTCTCATTGAGAAAGAGAACAATAAGCTGACTAGTACAAATATCTTGGCTCTGTAGTTACGAACGACGGCCGCTGTGACATGGAGGAAAACAGATGAATAACTTTTGCGGTGGCCACATTTGGAAGCCCAGAAAAGATTCACATCTTGAAAAAAAGAGAGCTTGCTGGAAACATATGAAGTTCATCTAAGTGCCTTCAAATAACATTTTTTAATTCTCCTCATCCCCTCGGTTCAGAGGTTTCAGAGAGAAAGAAAACGGTCCAAAAGTATCAGGCAGAACTGAAATGAACGGGATTAATTTTCACTGTTCCAGGAAAGACGAATTTGATATTTTCATAATCGTATGTGCAAGGGCAAACATCAGTCGCTCAAAGAATCCTACTATCCAGAGCATGGAAATCCAAAGCACGGATATCGTCGCTCCGGTGGCAAACA